AAAAACCAAGATGTAACATGTGTCATGTGCGCTGCTACATGACACAAATGTAGTGCGAAGTGCATTTTAAACAGTGCGTATTACAATATTTGAGCATTAGCCAAAAAACAAACAAACAAAAGGCATGCATTCAAGCAGCTGCACGATAAAATAAGAACCATTTATACAGCACACATTAAGACTCAGCTTACAGTGAAGCCGGCCAATGGACTGATTCCTGATGTCAGTGACTATGTGTTTTTTGTAGGAATGCTGCTGGTAACTGCCGACACCCTGGGACATGACTTTCACGTCTTCCAGATCCTCACCCACCCGTGGGCATCTTCGCAGAGTGCCGTTCACCATCTCTATACGTTGCATCGTGGGGAGACCGAAGCCAAGGTCTGAAACAAACTCAAACCTACACGCACACTGCAACCATCCACTGGGAGTAATAGTACAGATTTTTAATGAGTGTTTAGATTGCATTGATTCACATACACATACATTCTAGTCAAATGTAGTAAATTGTGCACTTGTATGTAAGTATAATTATTACTTCTTTCTTCCTGTCAAATCACTGCAATATGATTAAGATAGTGAAGATAGTGAAACCAAAAAAAGGGTAAGAACAAAGGTACGGTATTACAAACAAAACACAATTTATTACTGCTCTTCCCTCCATAGAACAAAAGTATGTGTAATAGTGACCATGAAATTTAAAAACATTAGCGTGATACATAAGGTCAACAATAGAAAGTAATGCATTTATTTATCCATCAACCTCATTTTTACTACCTTGCTGAGCAGTGTTGGCAAAGGTCTTAGCGTAGATGGCTGGACCTTCCTCTCCCTGACTGTCTCCTTTGGCTGCTCCAGGGATATTTTACCAGCTCAAAACCATAAACTTTCCAGGCTGTCCCGGTTCAGCCCAGGGGTTTTCTCCTCATATTTTTTAGCGCAAAACCTAGGTGGCGAAGAATAATCTTACTGAGATACCTGGACCACCGGAACTGAGAGCAACTCTCCCTCTCTCCAAAGATGAAACAACCACTATCTCATGACCATATTGTGGGTAGGAATGTAGATCAACTGTTAAACTCACAGCTTTTATCATTTATTTAATGACTTAGTTATCCTCTGTTGTTTCTTCATTTCCTTTCAGTAGTAGACAGGAGATGACCCTTCCCTTAGCTGTCCAGTTTGAGTGAGATCCAGGTTTGGACCAGTCCCCCTCCAAACCACATTCCCATTTAAACAGATACATTTATGAGAAAAATACATGATTGGTAAAGAAAAACATTCATCCAGTTTATAGAAAATAACAAGCTCCACCCCCTCGATGAACTGCAACATTTAAACAGCATTAAAACATTACCTGTGTTGTTATTCTATACAATTTAGCATAATTGTGTTTTTATAGTACGAAATCACAACAACAGTTACCTGAAGTTGCTTTATATTGTAAGGAAAGACCCTACAGTAATACAGAGAAACCCCAGCATTAAGACAACCAATGAGAAAGCTTTTGTGAAAAGTGGGAAGGAAAAACTCCCTTTTAACAGGAGGAAACATCATCCAGAACCAGGCTCAGGGACGGGCGGCTATCTGTGTGACCAGTTGGTGATGAAGGGAGACAGAACAAAAGACTTACAGAGGAAGAGAGCCAGAGATGAATTTTAACTAATGATTAAATGCAAAGCTGTGTACAGATACATAGTGAGTGAAGAAACACTCGCGTGTTACCTGATTTAAACCTAACCATTACTTTATCAAAAAAGAAAGTTTTAATTAAAGAGGATGTCTCTGCTAAAATCTTGAGTTGACACATTATTACATGTGGTCATTGTCACGGCGAGTGAGGTGAGCCGTGGAGGAGGAAATGAAGGATCCAAGTACAGGCAGTCGTGAGGGTGTGAAGGTGGTTTATTAAACACAAAAAGAAAGGCAAACGGCAACAAGGAAAACTAAACTATACTGGGAAACAACTAAAACTACAAGACACAAACCTGAATGAGAACGAGCGGAAACACTAGGCGGATGACAGCAGGGAAACACACAGATGACG